CAGGAAAGCAGACCTTACGATGACAGGCTGAAAGCCATGGGGCTCTTTAGCCTGGAAAAGTGCAGGCTCAAGAGTGATCTGATGGCCACCTTTAAGTTTATCAGGGGTGACCACCAGTATCTGGGAGAACATTTATTCACCAGAGCGCCCCAAGGGATGACGAGGTCGAACGGTCATAAACTACTGCAAGACCATTTCAGGCTGGACATAAGGAAGAATTTCTTTACTGTCTGAGCCCCCAAGGTCTGGAACAGCCTGCCATCGGAGGTGGTTCAAGCACCTACATTGAACACTTTCAAGAGCAAATTGGATGCTTATCTTGCTGGGATCCTATGACCCCAGCTGACTTCCTGCCCTTCGGGCGGGGGGGCTGGACTCGATGATCTTCCGATGTCCCTTCCAGCCCTAATGTCTATGAAATCTATGAAAACCCAGCAGTTCTCAACATTTTTAGACTCAAGGACCCCCTTCCAAAACTTTTGGGAATTGAGCAGCACCCCATTTCAAAAACAAACTTATTTATTACAATGCTAACCTCCTTGGATAGTGGGGCCAGGGGAATGGCCAGGCACGGACAAGCCAGATGTAGCACCCTTTTCAGACTCTTGCAAGCGCCCCAGGGTGTCCCGGCACCTGGTTGGGAATCCCTGAGCTAACCCTTCCTCACAATGCACTCCCGCAGGAGCAGGTCTGGTAACAAGGTGGCAGGTCTCAGGAGCAATGCGCCTCGGAGGAGAGCTGGGGAAGCTTTCCCGTCAGGGATGTGAGCTCTGAGGTAGGGTTTGTGCTCAGAGGAAGCAGGCAGCCATGCAAAGGATTGCAATTCTGGAATCTGAGGAATTGTTTTGTGAACCATAGGCAACGTCACCAAAGACTTCGCTGACTGGGGATTAACTTACCACCCTGCGCCGAAGTAACGAACATGTCCTCGATGCCATGACTGCATCGGATGGGAGGAGGTGCTCCGTGGCAGGGGAAGCACCTTGCATCTGGGTCGACAAAGGCAGTTTTCCTTATGGGATAACTGTTTTTCTGGCATGGTTTAGCGCTGGGACTTAAAGCTGACTTTATGGAAAGGGCAAGCTCCCCTCTACCTTGCTCCTGCGGCTGTACAGCTGAGGGCAGGCGAAACTCGGGGGCCGCTGAACCTTGGCCTCCAGGCTTGGGCCTGCAGTAGGATGCCAGCCGGAAGACATTGGAAATATCTGGAGCCCCAGGCAGGGGTGGAGGATGCATGCCGGTTGTAGGGCCACTTATGTTTCTGGATTGACTTGATTTGGTGGGGAACACGAAAAACGCTTTTAAAAAAGTAAATAAATAAGGAGGTGCGCCTCAGCACTTCCAACCGGGCCTTCTGGTCAGACATTGGAAACGGGGGCTGTATCGTTCATTTTTAATTTCACAGACGGGCTCTCAGCTTGGAGGGCTTGTTGCTTTGCCCGGCTGCCATTTGTGGTCATCGCTGTGCCGCGTTTGCAATGAGAGTGCTGGATAGGCAGACTTCTGACACAAGCGGGGTCTCTCATGTCCCCGTGAATGCTGCCAGTGTGGGGGCAATCCCCACCATCTCCGCCCCATCCTGCTGGAGACATTTGGGGGGCACTGAGCCCCCTGGCCCACGCAAGGCAGTTGGTGATGTGACCTCAGCTCACAGTGACAGCGATGCGAGCGCCATGACGTCGTGAAGCAGTACGTGACAAGAACATGACGTAACACAAACCAAGGACTCTCGGGTGCTGTGACGTCACACTGTCCATGGTGTGATGTCACGCGGGGGCGGGGATGATGGAAGGGGCGTGGCGTCACCACGCCAGGGCGCACGGCGACCCCGCGAGTCTTGGGGAGATAGAGCCCGGTCACTTCCGGTGTACCTGAGGGGACTTCCGGTCCTGTAGGAGGTACTTCCGCATCAGGAACCGGAAGGCCCGTCCCTACAGCTGTCAGGGCGGGCCGCCGGCAGGTCACGTGACGCGGGGCGCAGCGCAGCGGCCGGTTCCCGAGCTCTGTTGGGCGGCGGTGAGCACGGGAGGTCCCTATAGAGTTCACACGTCCCGCGTTGGGACACTCGGGCACCCCTAGACACCCCACATGGGGTTACTGTGGCACCCCCTATACACCCCACATAGGGTTCCCCAAAATCCCCTGTATGTCCCA